GGTCATACATGTATACAATGGATCGTGTGTGAACCTTGAGAAAGAGAATAGAAAAGGTTGATGATTGGGGGGAGAATCAGGAAACATATCACACCCCGAAASAMATTGCTCAGATGAATCAAAAGATTYTMAAAACTCGYCATCCTGCATGCCACCAACAAACTCTRCTACATCATCCAGATGGACTTGAACATGTGCCAAATCTTCATGGAGTTGCACTAATGCCCAACCCTTGTCCAGATTCTTGTCCATCAGCCTCCCAMCTTGCCCTCGCAAACWTCCCGACACGATGAGGACACGACCCCCTCGCTTTGGAAGAACGGTTTCAAGGGATGACTCATCTACTCCCTGTAATATTTTGCCATTTTCATCCAACACTACGTCACAAAGCATTTTACGCGTCCCAGGTGCGAAACCAACCACATCGGCAACAGTTGCCTTCTTCAGATATACCTTTCCACCTGACAGCTCCTTGTTTACGATCCTGACCTTGATGCCACCCATCAACCAGCTAGTTATGCACGAATCTTTGCGTTCATCCCCTTGCTGTCCCTTCCCTTTTCCACCATTGCCCTGTTGTCCCTTCCCTTTTTCGCCATTGCCCTTCGCCTTTTTCCCAGATGCATCAACACCCTGATGACCTCCTCCATCACCACACAAAGTCTGTTTGGCATTAATCGATCTTGATACCTTAAAATCACCATAATATTTCCCTTTATCCATATCCTGTCGACGAAGCCCCCTTCCCTCCTTCTTCGGACTCCTCGAACCCCTATCCTGCTCCTTCCATCCACGGTGCGACTGTTTGGAACCCTCATCGTTTCCTCTTTGATGTTTCACTGCGCGATAATCTTGGCTCTCAGGCCTCGAGCCCTTTCCTTGCACGCTGCCTGTCTTCTTATCTCTATTAATCTCTTCTTCCTCCTCTCGCCTTACCTTGTTATCCCTCCCCTCAGGAGTCCGCTGTTTGCTGGTGGGCAAATCAATGTCTGCTAGCTCTTTGACTCGAATAACAGCCTTTTCGTTGCTCGTTTCCAACCTGACCGTGGCCTGATCCGACCTCCCGCTCTCAGGTGGATGTGTCTCTATGCTTAACACAACTCCACGCAGACCCGAATGCCTCCCTGCGATGATTCCCATTGTCTTCCCAATGGCAACTCCTCCTCGTCTGATTCTCTCTGTGTGGTTCTCTCCTCCATTTCTGACGTGTTGGACCCTGCCATCAGACCCAATCGGTAAGGCCATATCAGCCCGTGGTCCATGAGCCTTTCGGTCGCCAGTCTTCTGCTTCTTGCCATTTGCCTCATCTTGAGGCGGGCGGCCAGCCACTGCCCCAAGTCCAAGCCTGTCGGGCCTTGGATGATATTCCATGGGCTCGATTACGCTGTCTGCACGTCGCCCAAGAGGTTTTCCCTGTTCCCACCCCATTCCTCTTAAAAGTGCCTCCCCGAAAAGCTCGATTGGCATGGTCTCGTAAGTTTCCGTATCGTCAACATCTGGGAGACTGTCAATTTCCCTTTGCATTGCTTGTGCGTCAAGCTGCTGTTGGTGATACCTGGAGTGGAGAGCAGCTACCGTGCTTTCCTCATTGTTCCCACCCACTCCGTCTTCGGCTTTGCGAATCTCCAACCCATACCGAACGTTCTCCCCTGGTTGGTCTTCCGGGGCCACCTCCTCGAATCGATCACTCTCCACATCTCCATCAAGCACTGGTTCACCCAACGCTGACATTATGGGTTGAAGGCCCGGAAAGGCCCTCTTCCTGTGCAGTTTCCAGGAGTCCAGCAGTGGGATCACCACAGGGCCAGCCTCCTTTTTCTCAATCTGGCTCACAAGTCCCGTTCTGTCAATGGCTGTGACATAATCACGGTCCTCTGTAGGTTCCTTTCGTTTATCACCCCCCCCTTTCGTCTGAACAACTTTTCCATTTCCGGGGAGGGTCTGACCTGCTGTCTGACCGACGACTGAGACTGACAAATGCTGAGATTTGCTCTTTGCAGGTCCAGTCAGAGCGAACTTAAAAGTTTGACGCTGCATTTTCTCCGGGGAAGGCATCTTCTCATTCTCAGGATCACACCCTAGCTTCCCCATTTGTGCGTCCTCCGCAGCGCTAGAATCCATCTGTTTTAGGGCATACTCACACACTACCGGTAGTAGTTTCCGAGATGTATATGGGCCACTTTCTGGGATGAATCGGCCACTTTCCAGGATGTATCAGCCTGCAATTACAACTTCGTTCAGACAGTAAAGTCCTCATGTGATTATGACCCTGTATCGGCCACTTTCGGGGATGAATCGGCCACTTTCCAGGATGTATCAGCCTGCAATTACGATTCCGTTCAGACCGTAAAGTCCTCTTGTGATTATGACCCTACTTGATCCTTGTTTAGTCGAAAAGGATCCTCTCAAGTGTCACTGCAGAATCTGCCTCTGCGTCTCAAGAGGAACAGTCCCACGGACGTGGTGAGGCACAGAATACACCGCTTGAACTTCATGTACATACAATCCCAGTGAGAGACAGACTCCCACTCAGAGTTTGGCACAGCATTTGTGTCTGAGAAGCCGCCGATGCCCTCTTGTTGTCCAGATGACCCTGCACAGGGGTAATCTGTTGAAGCTCAGATCTCCCACCCGTTTTCCCTCCACAGCAGCACCTGCACCTAAACCCATCTTAGCTGCCCTTGCTTAGCTCAAAATGCATCCTTCCCTGTCAGCGAAGAATCTGCAAGTTGTTTAACACATCACGAACAACGGGMCAAYATGCYAGAGAAGTTGAGCAAACGCTAAACAGTAAATCGTAAGAGCACAAGAGAGCACAAATTATAATGCAACAGCCTCCACAATGTCCCTAACAAAATTCAATAAAAGTGCAGCAAAACAGCAGCAGA